CGCATGCCCGTGCACAGCGCCCGCACGCGCCCCGTGCCATGCCGCATCCACCCGCGCGCACAACCCTAGAGACACGAGGAGACCCATGCGCCCGCATGCATGTGCCTGCATGCGGGAGAACCGCACGCCCAACGCCACTGCCAAGAGATTCGCGCCCGCGAAATAACTCGCCCGGGTCGCGAGTGCTTTTCCCAGGCACGAGAGAATCGTGCCAGCACCAACTCGCGACCCAGCTGGCCTTTCGCGACCTCGCGAGTCCACACCTAGAAGACCCAATCACTCGCGATGCGACTTGGCTCCCGCGACCCTGCGAGTGCCGACCCCATACCAACAGCACATTCGCGACCCGAGTGCCAGTCCGCGGCGTCAGGAGTTCATCCCAGTGACGACAGTGCCACCCGACGCGACCCTCAATTTGCGAGGTCGCGAATCCTAGACCCGTCAAGCCCCAGCTCATTCGCGATCCGAATGCTCTTCCGCGACCTTGCGAGGGCCTTTTACTAAATGTGTGTTAGAGAAGTTTGTGTTTTTTAGAGTAGTATAAATACATTTGTGCCTTTGTATTTTGAGTATCTAAGCTTTCATTTCCCATTTTTCCCTCTTAAGAATTTATCTCTTTTATTTTATGCTTTGTGTTTGGGAGCTCAGAGATATGGTATTTTTCTGGCAACTTTATTTTTATCCAAAATTCGATCTTTCTGCATTATTTTCATCCGAGCTTGCAATAAGAGAGTAAGTACTTTGATTAGGACTTATTACTTCGAGTTTGTTTTCCTTCTTGCTTATGATGTTTGTGAAGGTTAAGTTGGTGTATTGGCCATAATCATGTGCTTATGCTTGATTTAGGACTTTGCTATATTTTTCTTGCGTGCTTAAGTGTTAGGAGTTGAATTTGAGTGTATTTTGTTATAAAGGTCTCGACTTTGTTTAAAGCATGGTCATTTAGTTAAGAATGCTCAATTTAGTTACCTAGGATCTTATTGCTAGCATATTTCTCTTCATTATTTTCATTTTAATCAAAGTCAAAGGGACTCCAGATAACCAAAGTTCAAATCATTCTTCCAAAGTTTGCATCTTTACTCAATTTCTCTAAATTCTTAGTTTTAGTTAATCTTAAATTAACTCAATCATCATGCTTAGTATGTCAAGGACTGTTTATTTATTTATTTATTTATTTATATTTATTTATTTCTTTATTTATTTATTTGTTTTTTTTTTTCTTTTGGACAACTAATTGGTAGGTGAAGCACCCAAAAATCTCCTTTAGAGAGATGAACCGAGAAGGATCTTTTGATCATACTCGACTAAAAACAACTTAACATGTTGACCAGCTGGCTCGACACTGCTCCTTGTCGGCCCCATCAACAAGAGAACAACTAGATCTAGCTGCATCTGTGGTGGAACCATGACCTCCTGGCTCGATCTGGCCTCCAGTTGGTTGTTCGGCCTTGTTGCTGCAACTGGGATCGCCCATGAGCTCCATAAGCCCATAGGATGAGGCATCGGGTCACCGGGGTTTAGGATGCTCGAGGGTGGGCCTGTATCGAATGGGTGTGTGGTAATCCACACGTCATCGAAAGTGTGCGCTAAATTTTTTCAGGGAATGTCGCTCGCCATGGTTGGATATCTCAGATGTCTTTTTGAATGAGGTTCTCATAGACGACGCTAAATGGTATGTAAAAGACCTTAGACTGGCTCGGTTCGAACTGGATTTACTTCTTTGTTGGTAGATGACCTTTAATACCTGCACAAACTCAATGCTGGGGGATTTTCCGGCGTAGAGCCTCTGTCGCTCAAGTCAGAACACGAAGAAAACGATGAACAGTGTATGAAAGCTCTGCAAGTATGTGAAGTGCGTAGAGAAACGTTGTTATGAGCATATCACACTACCTTATATAAGGATGCATTACCTTGTTGTCCAAGACTGCCCAGATATGTTGCCTAGCTGCCCTAACTACCCATCTGTACTGTCCCAAATGTCTAATTTTGTTAGGCCAAGTGAACATATGTGCGAATTCCAACTTCATAATATATTCATCCTTATCTAGTACTTTGCCTTATTAGACGGTCTAATCATGCGACTGACCCTAATTATCTCGAGGTGGAGTGTTACTTGTGTCGAGCTCATATGCTTTGCTCATCTGGTAGATCCATCAATCGGTAACATCTTCAGGTCAAGTTTCAACCAGGACATCCGAGTGCCCTAGTTCGATCTGTATGTGCTCCTTGAATCCGTAATGTCCTCATCGACCTGAAGATTCTTTGATTTGTAGCGCCTTAGATTTTTGTCCGACCTTCCGATTCACCCGATTCAATCATATTGTTTCGCAAATCAGGTCGATCTGGTATGGTGTCCCACATCACCACCAATATTACTTATACAGTATATATGAGCCGGAGCATCTAATATATCAACATACTCGTTTAACTTACATGTCAATATAAATTAGTGACGTGTAGGGAACCAAAATATTACATATTTATCCCTCTTTATATATTAATTCAAAACGTGTTGAGCCTAGGTGGCAGATTCTCACGCTTCAGATGCTGACATGGCGGAAATCTATGCTTCGTGATGTTGTTTTTATATTATTTTTGCTCTGGAGTTAGGTTTGGTATTAGACATAAATAACTTTACACATATATTCATTAACTCAACACCCATGTTGTACATGGGTATTAGTACTAGTTAAATGATTAATTAGTAATCATAGCAAAAGTAGTTCTATCATTTTTATTTGCAATTAAATCTAGAGAGAAAAATTACCCTAGTGAAATCTTGAGAGCAAAACTAGTTGTAAATTAGGATGTTTGGATAAGGATCAAGTAGAACTCCATGATGTCGAACATTAAAATTTCATTTTATACGTTTATTAGCTTATTTAAGCACTTGGCACTTTTAATTCAAGGTTTCACCTAATGATCAATGTCCGGGCAGCGGGCAGGCTGCCCAATATACCATTATTATATTATATATAAAGAAAAATGCATGCTCACAAGGAAAATCAAACGATATAAAAATCGACTAAATACTATTACCTTTTTCCTCCGTAGGGTTTTTTTTCCTCATTGGATTCGGATATATTCCATCTTTCTTCTTTGTTGCAGTCTTCTTGTTCGTGGAAATGCCTCTATGGAAAGAGTAATCCCTTTCTTGTTTTAAGTAAGTTCTTATCCCGAAATTATACACATTTGTAGTCTCTTCAATGGCTCCATCATCTTGTAGAAGAAAAGGGTCCAGAAAACCATCATCTTCTAGAAGGAAAATCCTCTTCAAGAACTCGTCCAAGAATCGAAAGAACTCGATCATTATCTCGACCGAATCATCGAAAACCGAGGCGTCGAACGGCATTGCAGATAATAATAGTAACTATTGTAATACCGGCTCGTCGTATAACGGAAGCATTTGTTCCACCCCGAAAGCCGAAAGGTTCCGGTTACCCGAGACGAGCACTTGCCCGCCGGCCCCTAAGAAGACTAGAAGATTACGGCTCAAAAATTGCTCCCTAAAGAGAACGGGATCGGTCTCCGTACCGTTTTTCGAGTCTCCCGATATCGACCTCTTCTTTTATTTCGCGCTCCATGGGTTTCAAGTTTGAAACCGACTCGTGAGCAATTGTATGATCTGTTTTTGGCAAAGAGATAGATATGTTTTCTAGTTATTATGGGTCGAGTGTGTGTTTTCTTTGCTAATTTGCTTGTTTGGGGTGTCTGAGTTTGAGTGTGTTGATAGGAATATGTGATCTCGATTAGGCATTATGCCTTATTTCCATATCTGTATTAATTTTCGTGTTTTTAAGTTTTTTTGTTTATTTTTCAGGAACAAGAGCACATATTGCTCTTGGCAAGTTTCTTTACTAGTTTGTTCTTTTCTTTTTCAATCGGTCACTTGCAATAGACATGGCCAAGGGTCGATCGGGCCTAGATTTACAGGTTTTTGAACTAGACCCTTAGCCCTTAAGTGCCGGTGTTAGTTCTTTATTTTTCTTTTTTGACCTGTTGATTCCAGATGAGAAGGGGGGTTATAGTTAATTTGATTTTTTTAATAAAAAAACCAGCGGTTGAATGAACTGTTGGGTCGGGCCAGTTCATTTGAACGGGTCCTTAAATATAGCCGGGCCAGTTCCGGGCCTAGAATTTAAGGCCCGTTGACCCAAAGGGCCGGGCAGGTCGTGAACGGGCCCGACCTTTGGACACAGTCTACTTGTCAGCGTCTAATTGTTGAAAAGAAAATAAAATCAACGTTGTCACACACTAAAACGTAAAAATTCCACACAATTTAACTCATTTGATGCTAAAACTAATGTTTTATTCTCCGGTCTTGATTATTATTTTTTTTTTTTTTNNNNTTTTTTTATTTTGTGTCAGCTTGTGGGGTATGGATATGTCCGATGCTCCGCGAACATGAATAGGGAATCCAATGTAAAGGCTCGTGCGGGTCTGTCACAAATGATCATTTATTCTCACGTTAGGGATAGGGAATCTCAAGATCTTTTTCAAATGATTTTTACTTTCTTAGACCGTCTGCAACCGGCACCCAAATCACAAAAATTGAGGTAAAAAAACTCCAACCGAACGGCAAAGAAGGACGCAAAATGGAGTATTTAATTTCTCTTTCCTATTTCAAACGCATATATGCGTTTACGCAAAAAAAAAATTGCGTTTGTAGTTCTTAAATTACATTCAACTCTATTTTTCTATTTAAATTGTATATGTGACATTACCTCATTTTTTACACCACCATCTATTAACTATTATTCAAGGAAAAAATACATAATTTTTCCTTCTGGAGCGTAATGTAATTTTTATTATGATAAAAAATATTTTCTTTAATTATGACAATTAAATAATTTGAGTTATTAGATAAGATAATTTTATATTATAATTATTTTGCTTGTAAAAATACACTAATTTGCTTGTGTGTTGTAATTTTTAATTTTTCATCTTGTGCGTTGTAATTTTTAATTTTATCTTGTGTATTGTAAATTTTAATTTAAAGTATATTTATTGCTCCGATTTATTATGTATATGATTATTAACTTTATAATTAATTTTATTACATAAAGTTCAAATTGAATTTAAAATATTAGTGTGATTTAATTTATAAAGTTGTAAAATATGTAGGTAGTATTGAAAAGTTGTAAAAATTGAGGTAAAAGAGAATATTCTTTTGGGTTTGAGAATGAGTTTTTCGGTTGGAGATGAATTACTGCAAAATGTGACAGTTACTGCAAAATGAGTTTGAGAATAGGTTTTTCGATTGGAGATGGCCTTAGTAGGTCACTCTAGCGTTAAATACAGATCGTACTTGTCTCGTACCTACATAACAATACGTACTCGTTACAAAATCGAAAAAAAGGCTCGTGTAAATACTAAACTATCATTACTTGAAACAAATTATAAAATATATTATTTTACTGCTAATACCATAATCAATTGTAACTTCTACAGTATCAATGTGCATACACAGTGTCATTTCGTCTGGGAGGTCGATCAGGAATGGAGCCCGGATTTAAACTTTGAGGCCTCATGGCTCGCAAGCTCTGGAGGGATAGGACTATTGCTCTGAATCAGCATTTGCTTGAGATCATAAAAGACTTCAGTGTCATGCAGAGTCAAGAATGTCGTAGCTACACCAGTCTTCCCAGCACGACCCGTTCTTCCAATACGATGAGTATAGGCTTCAATATTGTTCGGCATGTCATGGTTTATGATGCGTGCCACATCAGGTATATCGATACCACGTCCAGCTACATCTGTTGCAACCAGTACATTGTATCTCTTTGTCCTAAAACCTTCAAGGCTTATTTCTCTTTGTTCCTGTGACTTCCCTCCGTGCAGTGTGGTTACCCTGTAACCCTCTTTATCCAAAGTTTTCGCAACATTGTCGGCAACTTTCTTCGTGTTAACAAACACGATAGCTGTCTTGTCACCGAGCTTGTCCAGCAGTTTCTTCAACCTATCCATTTTGTCATTCTCATGCATCATAATCACGTGTTGACTGATGAGATCAGTCGCCTTCCCTGCAGTACCGATATTGACCACAACCGGATTCCTCAAGTACTTCCTTGCGAGCCGCTCCACGGCAGGTGCCATTGTAGCACTGAACATGTAAGTGGTTCTGTATATCCTCCTCTCGTCGAGCTCTTCATCCTCATTCTCCGGCTTCATATTACTCGAAGGCATCACATCCAATACACCCACCACTTGGGGTTCGAAACCCATGTCGATCATGCGATCAGCCTCGTCAAGAACAACATAATTACACTGGTTCAGAACAACATATCTTCTCTCCAGGCAATCGAGAAGACGCCCGGGAGTAGCAATCACAACCTCACATCCCTGCCTAATCTTAAGCCCTTGCTCTGCTATGGACTGCCCACCGACAATAGAAACCACTTTGATCCCCATGTAGTGAGCGAATTTGGTGGTCTCGTCTTCAATCTGCTGAGCAAGCTCTCTGGTGGGAGCCATGACAACTGCGTGGGGCCCCTCGGCCTCGTTCTCCTCGCTTATAGGGGGAAGTCTAGTTATGTAAGTCAGCATAGGAAGAACAAAGGCGGCCGTTTTACCTGATCCTGTCTCGGCAATGCCAATCACGTCTCGCTGCTGAAGGCCAAGAGGAATGGCAGCCATCTGAATCGGGGAAGGAGACTTGTATCCTGCCCTCTCAACCGCCCTCAGCAACTCAGCGCTCAACTTGCTCTCAGCCCAGTTCCTCATGGGGCGAGGGATCCTAGGGCCCTTGTAAGAGATGTTGAAATCTTCCCTGAAAATCCTCCAATCCCTCTCCGTCATCTCCTCCAGCTTCTTGTCCGACCAGTGTCTATCGACCCTCATGTCAAAGGTGTCGTACGAGTCGGCCGCTTGCTCTTTCTTCTTCTGAGCAGCGGCTTCCTCGCG